CTCCTGGCAGGGGCGGGGATTTCCTGGGGAGAGGCAGGCAGGAAAGAATAAGACTTGGAGCTTGGGGAGGGGGGTCGGAAAGGGGCCGAATGGCTGCATAGCCCCTGACCATGGGCTGTGAAGGTTGCCCAGGCGCCTGCTCTGCCCACCCCCTTCTCCTACCCCCAGTCAGGTTCTTCCCGCACTTCCATGTAGCTCAGAAACCCCTCTCCTGTGGACCTTGTGGATTTCAATCCCTGGAGAGCCTGGTCCAGAGACCTTTCCTCCATAGGGCACAAAACAGGTCTTGTCCTCTGCCCTGCCCATATATTTGTGGAGGCTTGAATCTTGCTTTTCCATGCCCACAATTAAAATCTATTTTCTATCCAAAATATCTGACATAGGTATCACATGAGGGTCATACACAGGGATGTAGAGCCGTCTTCCAGGCCATTGTGTCTGGTTCTACACACACACACACACACACACACACACACACGTTGAAAATGACCTTGTTGCTACTCTGGGGTCTCTGACATGATGAGGAGGTCTATTCGGCTACCATGGCTCCTCACCTCCAGGCTCACCCCAGAGTCCCCAGTACTCTCAGCCTCATGACCCCACCCCACCCCCATCTAGTTCTGCCCACCCAGGATCACTTCTCCTGGGCATCCTGTCTACCTCTCCAGAGGCTTGGTTCACTTTTCCATGCTGACAGGCAACTTCTCAGCAATGGCAGTGCTTTGGGACATCCAAGGAGAGGGACCTCCAACCTGAGACAAGTCCCCTCTAAGTCCCACCTGGGCAGGCCCCCTCCCCCACTTAAGTCCCCTTCCCTCAGCCATTTTTGAAGATTGGAAGGCCCTGGGGGTGAAGAGGACAGGTCTATCAGTTACCAAAAAAAGCCTTCAGTGCATCCTAAACGAGGCCTCCTCTTCCCTTAAAATTAAATACAATTTCAAAGGCCATTTCAGGGGTTTGTTGCAGCAACAACCAGCTTCTCCTCTACAGGGTAGAAAATCCATCGGTCTGAAAGGGGAGCCGGCGCACCAGGCTGCAATTTCTCCAAGTAAGCACCAGGTGTCGCTGTGGGCTCGTTGTCCCGGCTACCCCCAATTCCAAAGAACCATTTTTTTTTCCTCCCCCTTCTCTCTGTTTCTCTCATTCCCTCTCCCCTTTGGTTAGGCTTTGCCAACATATCAAGATGCGTTTCGCCGGCTTCCATCACTAACCTCCCGGAGGTCATCAAACCAAATTTATGAGTGGTCGCTGGAGTCACGTGACTCTATTTAAGGCTCCCTTATTTGGGAAGAGCGCATAGGATAAAGAAAGAGATATCTCCACCTATAAATTGTGCACTTTGGAGAACAAAAAACCCCTCAACTTCAAAGAGTCACAAATCACCCTTAATCAAAAAGGGTGCAGAAATTTTTTTGGGCCCTCCCCGCCATGAGCTCCTACGTAGCCAATTCATTCTATAAGCAGAGCCCCAATATCCCTGCCTATAACATGCAAACTTGTGGGAACTATGGATCGGCCTCAGAGGTGCAGGCATCCAGGTACTGCTACGGCGGATTGGACTTAAGCATCACTTTCCCACCGCCTGCGCCTTCCAACTCTCTCCACGGGGTAGACATGGCTGCCAACCCCCGGGCTCACCCCGACCGCCCCGCCTGCAGCGCCGCGGCCGCTCCAGGACACGCTCTGGGCAGAGACGAAGCGGCTCCTCTGAACCCCGGGATGTACAGTCAGAAGGCGGCTCGCCCAGCGCCGGAGGAGCGAGCTAAGAGCAGTGGGGAGATCAAAGAGGAGCAGGCGCAGACAGGGCAGCCTGCCGGACTGAGCCAGCCACCGGCCCCGCCACAGATTTACCCGTGGATGACCAAACTGCACATGAGCCACGGTAAACTTTAGGACTTCATTTTGCGCGCTCGGGTCCGCCTGGGTTTTATAGGCCATGCGGGGCAAATAAAGAAAAAAAACCTGCGGCCATAAATTTTACGATCCAGGCATCAATGGCTCGTAAAACTGTCCACTAAAAGGCTTAGAGGCTGTGTGCGCCCAAATTTACGACGACATAATTGGATCATAGGAACAAAACGTGTATAAAAGGCAATATTCAATTTTTGGGGGAGAGGGAGGGAGTTAAAAAAATAGAGGGATCTAAAGGGTGAGGAGCGCGGGGCTCCAGCGCGGGGATCCCCCCGCGGCTCCCTCCTCCCCCGTGGAGCCGGCTCGGCCTGCGCTCGCCGCTCCGGAGGACTCCAGCGACTTGGGAGGGGCGGGAGGGGGGTCCCCGGTGCTCGGATCTTGAGGGTGCTTATTGTTCGGTCCGAGCCTGGGTCTCCCTCTCCCCCCACCCCTCAGCCCCTCTGGCTGCGGAGTGAAGGCTGCGGCGGAAAGTTTCCTGCCTGGGCGGCGGCGCCTCTCCCGGGGCTGGGCTGGGCCGGGCCCGCCTGCGGCCCGCCGGGCCTGCCTCGCCCTGCTCGCCTCCATCCCTCCGCCGCGGGTCGGGGCCTGGGACTCGGGTGGGGACGCTGAGGCGCTGCACGCTATTCACCCCTTCCTGGCTTGGGGGGGCTTATATTCCAGAGACAGACGGCAAGCGGTCCCGCACCAGTTACACGCGCTACCAGACTTTGGAACTGGAAAAAGAATTCCACTTTAACCGCTACCTCACTCGCCGCAGGCGCATAGAGATCGCCAACAACTTGTGTCTCAACGAGAGACAGATCAAGATCTGGTTCCAGAACCGCAGGATGAAGTGGAAGAAAGATTCCAAAATGAAAAGCAAAGAGGCTCTTTAGGAGGCGGCGGGGAGGCCCGCCCGGAGCGCCCTGGCTGCTCCCACTCCCCTCGCCTTTCCTTTCCGGTTCTCCTCTCTGTATTTTAGGGCAAGGGCGGTGGCTGGGGACCCGCTCCGGGCCTCAGAGACAAAAGCGCTTTCCCCGGCACCCGCATCTCCACCGACCCCAGGTTCCCGCGGGGCTGACCACGCTGTGCTGACTCCCCTTAGTTCTGCTCGGCTCCGGGCCGCCCCGGGGCCAGCTCCGCAGGGTTCCCAGGGCTGTGGCTTCCTGG